AGCATTATTTCCCGTCGAAAATGAAATCTTAAAGGAAAAGATAGCTCTAGTTTGAGATTTTACTAATGCTACCACGATTAAGATTAACAAATGGGGCTTTCACAGCAGAATCACCTTTTATGTTAACAGTTGGGGTGTCCGATGCCAGTCTTGGCAAGAATATTCCTTTCCGGGAGGGGACTACTGTTTTTTGTTTATATTTTTCTGATGCTTATATATAATATGACTTTCAGGAGGAGACTATCTTGCAGCATCAGCGTAGCTAATACGAGGAAGTGTGCTTGAATTAATAGCTGTACCAGCTAAGTTTTCAAGAAACGTAAAAAACAAGCCCAAAGCGCGCGCGCAGTTGCCAAACTGTAGAGCGACTAATAGATGTACTTACTTTAACATACATTGTAGCATTAACTGCATTAAAAATTCAGCCTAAAAATGTATCAAATATTTCTTTATTGCCTTGAATTTGAAAAATAAGCTAAGAATGACTAAATTATTTTAACTTCATTCCCTGCACAAAATGAACGAAAATATGAAAAAACGTATATGAATTGGATTCGAATATGTTAAATTTCAAACGATAAAAAACAAAACAATGCATATAGATATGTGACTCCTAACCTCAAAGGAATTAAAAAAAGGGAAAATTACTTGCGGGCATGCAAGCCTTATATCTTTGAGGTCGAAAATTAAGCCGAATATTTTAGCTTTACTTAGTTCTTTTTGTAAGGATTTGGTTGTAAATCTCTTTGTTTTTTTTTTTTTTCTTTTCAGGCTTATATTTTATTTGATTGGTTTCGTTGAATTTAATCTTTTCTGTTTTTTTTTTGTCTAACGAAAGGCAATTTTCAGTCAGATCAGAACTGAATCCTTTGAGATATTATTTAGGTTATGTAAGTAACTAACTAACTATTCAAGCATACATATGGAACTATGTAAAAAAAATAAAAAATAAAAATTGTTTCTTAGTCAACCTCTCAATAAATAAATAACTAAATAATACATGGCAATTTTATTTTTTCTAGTCTGTTTTTTTTTTTTTTTTTTTTTTTTTATATATAAAAAGTATTAAAAGCATAGTTGGCTTGATCGGTTTATTTTGGAAAATTTTTTATTAAAGATTTAAGGAATTAAAGTATGGTAAACATTAAATAGGTTGCCTTGAAAATTGTTCGATGAAATAAAAAGGAAAAATAAATAAAACTGCACCGAACACAAGCGAGTATATTGACCTTTTTTATTGCCTTTGAAAATCTTAGAAGTACGCAACGAATACCACATTAAATTAACGTGTATACGCGGACATCACAAGCTTGACAGTGCAAAGCTGTACTGAACCCAAGAGAGTATATTGACCTTTTTTACTGCCTTTGCAAAACTTGAAAATATGCAACGAATGTCACATGAGCGTAACGCGCTCATAAGCATTGAAATTTTGAGCTGAACTAGCTGACATATTTCCAAGATTTTGAATCATTAAATTTTCATGTTAGCCGTTACTAGAATCCTTGTTCAAAGTTTAGAATAGTAAATGAACTTGTCTGAAGTATAATCTATTTATATATGGAGATGAAGGGGCTTTCAGATTTCGAATCAAATCGCTTAGAAATTTGTCCTTGTTAGTTTTGCTTTTCCATAACGTTGCCATCCAACGAACTAGGTCACCATAAGTGCATACACATACGAGGATTACTGTAGTTTAAGCTAATAAAAATTTTCCAGTTTTATAGGAAAACAGAAAAAAAATGAAAACTTTGAAAAAAAAATCGAAAATACTTACTAAGCTCGTAATAGTTTTCAAATATTTGTTACTTTTTTTTATTTTATTTTTTTTTATTTTTTATATATTGCTTGGTATTGAATGATATTTAAGTGCCATGCATACATATGTGACTTGAATATAACAAAATTGCCCATGAATTATATTTAAAAGAGAAGAGAATCCAAAACTATCCAAGCTTAAGTCTATTCACAATAGTTTTTCTTTTTTTTCTCTTTTCTTTTGTCATGTTTCTCCGAGAGGTGGTAAAAAATTCTTTACAAAAATCTCTTCTGACTGTAGGTTATAGCAAATACTATAACGGTACATTATCCAGCTAATAATTTTTACATTTTCCTGTCGTCATCTCATATATATTCTAAAGTGCTTCCTTGGGGTATACAAGTAAACTCTTACATTTACGCACATACAAGAAAAATTCTTATTTTTGTTTTTTTGTTGTTACTTTTAACTGCCCATAAATTTCTAAAAATACTATGCACATATATATGATTGTATGTGTTTATGAATGCTATATCAACTGTATAATAAGTAATGGTTTCTAAATGTATTTCAAGTGAACTGTAATAAATATATATATGTATCTGCGTATATGTGTATGCCTGTATTAAAACGTATCCATTTTCTTTTTACTTGCACTTGTACACTTCGAAAAAGGCCGAAATAAAAGTTTTTATTACTACAACATAGTATTAATAGTTTATGGTTATTTTAAACTAAATACTAAAAGAAAGGAAAGGGATCTAGTGAGCTTCATTCTTAAATAATGTACTGCGATGTATTGTTATGAAATTCACTTTCGTAAAATACAGTTCGTATCACTGGATCGTGAACATTTTGATCAAGAGAAATACAATTCAAAGTTCTTTGATTTACAATAATATGCCTTAACTGTAGGATCATTTATTTACAATTATGTTCCTTAAATGTAAGATTATTCACAATTTATTTTGGCCGTACTCTCAACTTCTATGTTCTTGCGCGAGTAGCTTCCCCTTCCACAAATATTCTACTTATATACATTACAAGCCTGTTACTCTACCTAAATTTATGGTTTTATTACTAATCCCAGCCTGCTTTTCTTCTAATCGTTTTCATCGGCCTGCAGCGACATGACGCGCCTGCGAATGCGCATTTGGTTTTTCCTTCTTTAGGGAATTTATTATTAGGGAAAATTACTGAAATTGACTGGATTTGGGATTTTCGTAATACTATTTATTAATATTTGTAAATAAAAAATGTTTATTAAATAAATGAAAATTTCACAACCGAAGCCTGAGCTATGTTTCAAGCTATTAACCTTGCTAATAAAAACAGACACAATACTGGTATTGTTCCTGCTAACAGCTATCCGGAATCTCTGGACTTCTTGAGCTGGAGCACCGTTGGCAAATTAAGATATACTATCACTACATGGAACGATAAAATTAAAATGCTTTGTGTAGCTAGTCATATTAGTTCATTGGTACACGATCGAGCGGCGAAGCCTGCTGTTTTTGCACCTCTCTAATTATAGAAGATATCACGGAAAAATCGGACCTTCAAAGGTATATTGGAAAGAGAGTTCTAGAGAAAATTATTTATATAAATTTACAATAACAACGTCAGAGTGACTCTTCCGGTAACCTTCACTTAATTCTTCCGTTATATCGAACGAAAATAGACAAAATCAATTTCAGGACATAAGCGAAAACTTGGCTTGGCCATACCATTGCAACGCACCAAAAGATCATTAAGAAGACTTCTCCTCTAACCTGCGCTTGCGGACAAATTCTTACGATAAAACACATTCTTTGTGACTGTCTACACTTTTCACTTGTCGGCCCCAGAATGCAATACCAATTCGATGCATTATTTTGTTAAAACTGCTGGGCTCCACGTCTAATTTTTGGTTTTCTAAAATAGACCCGATGTCCTAATACTCAATTTGTGTTACTTTTAGCATAAGAATTTATGGCATTAGTCTAAAAATATTATAGTTATGAATACAATAATAAATAAATTAGTTAATTAATAATTAAATAAGATCTTAAAGTAAATAAAACAAAAAAAAAATTATACGCAGATAGATAACATAAAATGAGAATGTGATTATATATAAAATAATTAATAAAAATATTTAAAAATACCTATTAATAAATATAGTGTAGCACTAAAATAATTAACCTTGATAAACATTTGGTCGAAACATTGAATGGGTATTTACTTAGGCAAACTTTCGTTTCCATTTGACATATCTTGAACGATTGTTACGGCTTTGTACTTCGTCTAAGTAATCAATTTCAATCGACTTCTGCGAGACACGCTCAAAGCGTAAAGTGCGTGATCAGATTCAATCGTTGACAAGGTGGCGGGAGATGTGCACACAGACGAGATATGTAGTCAGTGCTAATCGATGACTCATTCTCCCTCATAATTACATGTTGAAGTTCGCTAAGCCCCTAGCAAGGAAAAAGTTTAGCGGTGTATGCGGACTGCAATGAACGAAATGCACGTTGTTCCTTTCCTTCTATGACATATTATTGCTCAATCTTATTAATGCGAAACGCATTTTATTTAAGGAGATGGTGTCCCATTAAAGGACAAAGCAAGAGATAGGGTTCCGCTTCTATAAATACATTCCAACGCTCATGCATTTTACTGTGTTTGTAAACGAAGACCATAAGAGCTTCAAAGCATCCCTGAAAGTTGCAAAAAAAAAAAAAAAAATTCAAAACTTGGAAAATTTGCGAGGATATGACCTAATTTAGGCGGCAGCCGCTAAATCCATACTTTGTAAGCGACAATAAGTAGATGATTTTTTCCAAGTGTAACAACACTAATTAACGAAAATTTACTTCGCTCTTTTTTTATATTTAGACCTATACCGTTATCAGTGCAGGCAAGCTATCAAATTTTTACTTCTTTTGTTGATGGACTTTGCCATGGTTAAGTTAATGTCAAATTTCTGTTGTTTTCGTTATTGACAGTAATTACAAAGGTGGCCGAGGGTCTGAAGAGATTAATTCCCCGTTTAATATTATGGCTTGTAATACACATTTACATGATCTATACATGATTTTTCCTAAATCTTTTGCAAAGATCCCGAATAAGAATTAATTTTAAAAAGTTCCCTTCTTTGCAATAAAGTTTAAGGTTAAAACCTAACAACAAGATTTACTTTCTTGCAAAAAATGTTCGTTATTGAATTTCCCTTCATTTTTACTTTTTTCCTGTAATCCAGAACTAAAAGCCAATATAATGGGGCCGACGGATTTGTATGTAAAAAGTGGCAGTGACATTAATTTGACGTGCAAAATATTGCAGGGACCGCATGAATTGGGCAACATATTCTGGTATAAAGGTAAGAAGAACAGTAAAATAACCGAGAATTCAATTAAAGCCTTCACTGCATACAGAAGAAGAAGTAAAAAACGAATAAAATTTTTTCCATTAAACGTTGCTCTATAATAATTGATGCATTAATTTGATTGTGGTTTCGCTTTTTAAAAACTCATGCAAACAAATAACATATTGTTGTTACTTTCATTTCCTCCGATAAATGTTTTCTTCTTCCTACACCCATCACCGAAAGATGAGGGATATATTCATTTTGTCAAGACGTTTGCAACCATCAAGAAAAAAGCTTCAGAGAAACTACATAGAGTATACATTCTTGATAGTGTACCAAAAATGACAGTGTACCAAAAATGTAATATTTTTAAAACACTTTTATAGCGCGCACAAGCAAGCTTGAAAAATCCCATGGTCTGTTCGACTATCCATCTGTCCTTCTGCCCAACCATTTGATATCTGTGGTAAACATTTTCCCGTTCGCAAATAAGAAAATTTTGCCTACAAGTTTGCAAAAGGATTTAAAAATGACCTAAACTTTTCAGAAAACATGCCTAAAACGCCCACACATCTGTGTGACAAGCATTTTTATTTTGAAAATAGAAAAAATCATTAGGGGCCGCGCCCCCTCAATAATATAAAGCACGAAAATTTAGTTCCTATTCAGGGTAGCAGTGACAAGTATAAAAGAGTCGGTCGCCACCGAATATAATTTTCTCATCTTTCATTTTCCTCTTTTTGATATTCCACATCTTTTGGTCTTCTCTACATATTAATTATTAATAGGTAATGAGATTATTGATATGACAGCGAACCAAAATGAAATTGATAGCGGGACCCGTATCAGTGTTGAAAACGATTGGACAGACGGTTTAACATCGAGGTAATTTCGTAAATGCTTTATCTTCTTTATTTATCTTCTTTGTTAATAAGTTTTAATCATTAACGAATGTTTTTTTATTTTTCCGTTTTTTTCTTCATTAACCCTTTCTTCCTTTTACATAACAGATTAAAAATACGTCGTGCTTTATCCAGTGACACTGGCAATTATACTTGCGTACCAACGATAGCTAAATCATCCAGCGTTTACGCTCACGTAATTATTGGTAAGTTGTAATACAAAAGGTTCATTGATAAAAACAAACATAAAAAAAAAATTAAATTTTATTTTCGGATAACAATGTTGTTTGTTAATCGATAGTTTTGAAAATTTTTGGAATAACGATAAACGCTAGCAATGAAAACCATTATGATTACTGATTCATTGCTTAAAAAAATATATATATATAAAAAATGTTATCTGGCTTGGTACTTATCGCTTCAGAAATTATGTATTAAGTAAGACAATGTCAAGTTTCAGCTGCTAAGTAAGTAAATAGGTCCGAAGTTACTCTCAATTTTGAAACAAGCAAACCAAGAGAGTGAGAGAAAAAGAATCGGATGAAAGAACGCATCGATTAGCGGATATTTGCACGCATGGGCGAATGTACAGACGAATATGATTAAATGGATTGAGTATTTAAAACTTGACAGCGTCCTTGACGCATATTTCTAGATGTCTCAAACGTGATGTTGGATAAGCAGATATTGCATTTTTATCCTCACATGAGTTTTGGTAAAAAGTTTGCAATCGTTCGAAGGGAGCTTCAAATATTTTATAAAGTATAGATATATTTGGGCAACACCAAATTCTTAATTGATCTAAGTGTCCATCCGTCTTTGTGAGGTATACGGTATCATTCTCATAGTCGCAGAAATGCAAATCCCCTCTTCAAATTCTGTTTAAACATGGGAGTTTGTTACACATAGGTTGGTATTGAAAATGAAACAAATCAGCCAAAGAATACGCCCACTATACCATATAAACCAAAAGCGGCTTTGTTTTCAAATGCAAAAGATTTGTTCACTATATTCGTAAACTACACGAGGGATGTAGCGAGAAAGGTTTATACATATATTCTATAGGATTTTATAGTAATTGTACAACAATGGGAAAAATTCCACGCTCTCATCCAATATAATATTGATCAACTGAAATCCATGTCTACGATTTTAGAGATTGTAGCAAGTTTGTTGAAGAAACGCGCTCATTTTAAGTGCCGTTTTCTTTTGTTCCGCTTCGCCCCTTTTCCAACAATGAATATTGAAAGAAATGAATGATTAGGCGAATAACGTCTGATATATTTTATAAAGTATATTATTTCTGAGCAGTTCAAAAGTTTTAATGGTTTCTTGCGGTTCTAAGTCCTTCATGATTGGGATTCGGGCAGAAAAGCTCAAGCAGGTGGCGTTTTTCCTAGCTATTTTACATTGAACAAAGTCTCCAGAAATTATGTCAATCAAGATATATATTTTCAAAATTTGTGTAATATTGTCAACGGCTTTAAAAGAAAAAAGTAGCGCCATTTGGCACACCAATCGTTATCAAATGCAATAGTGTCGAAAAGTTTTTTTCTTAACCTTATTCTCGCGAAGAATATTCGTGAAGCTTGCATAGTTTAATGTGAAAAAAGTCTGCTAACCATTGTGCATCTTAAGGCTTGCCTCCTCAGGTTTACGTAACAATGCCGTTATACACTAAAGAAAGAAAAAAATAAAAAAGGGTTGAACATTTTTTTTTTGGAAAATATTTTATAGGAAGTTTTTCTTCAAAGCTATTTTATGATTTCTTTTTTCTTGCATCAAAGTTGTTACATAGTAATATTGGCATAAGCAAAGAATGGCAATTTAGTACCTTTTATTGGTTTGAAAGGAAAAGAACAAATCTCATCACATGATATATCTTAATGAAAATGAATGCCTGTAGGGTAAATGAAACGCAAAGAGAAAAAAGAAAAGAAAACGAAAATTAAAACAAGAAAACTTTTAAAAGGTATTCTGGAGAAAAAGCCTTTTTACACAATGTAATCCGCTTTGCTTTTATACTTGCAAAGCCTTAAAGCATATTATCTCGATGTGATGTTAGAGCAAACGTAATATGATATCTTAGCAAATACTTGTGCATATAGAGAACTAAATGCTTTCCACACCATAACCATTCTATTTAACTAACCTCTAGTAAAAATGTTGACCCCACTCTCGAAGAAATTGCTCATTTAAAAAGCAAACTTGACAAATGCTTTAATAACAACAACAAGAGTAAGAACAAGAAAGTATATGTTCGGCTAAGTACATATATATGGGAATAAGTGAATGTGCATAAGTGTGCTTTACGATAAAGTAATGTAGAAAACTATTTTGATGTGTTTAAATAACCTGCGGGTTGTAAATTTATAAATAGAGAAAAAGCAAAGAAGGCCTAAAGAAAGCATACCAACTGTCCGCTTTTAGTGCTAGTGTAGCTATTTCTATCAACATCAACAACATAGCAACACAACAGCTACTGTTTCTATAAAATACAAGGTGATCGACCATTCAAGAGCTCACCATTGTTTGTTTGTGCATGCACATGCATATATATATCAAATATACGTACATCTGTACACACCTGCATATACAACAAACAAGCCTTGCCTATGCTTAACGAAGGAACACGTATACGGTTTGTTTTATAAGGTCTTTAGTCAAGGTAAACTGTTTTCACACTACACAACACAAACAATATTATTTTTCGAGAGAAGAATTTCAACACTTGTTGTTCGTTTTTAAATACACTGCCTATACATATACATAAATATATATGTATATATACATATATATATATATATATATATATACCTACGTAAATCGTTGTTTATTGCTTTTGCAATGTTATAAAAGGCAAACAACATTTATATTTTGTTGCCATTCGAGAAAAAATTTAATGCTCTGACATCTCAGTTATGTTAAGAAAATAAGAGTGTGAGAGAATATAGCGTTTAAGTGAATACATGGCTTGAAGGCATTAAAACAAGTATTTCTTTTTGAGTCAGTTTATGGAAACAGTATAAGACAAAGTCTGCATGGATTGCTTTACAAAAAAAGAAAAAAATAAATAAATGAAAAAAAATATATAAAGAAAGTAAAAATAATACAAACATTTTAAAAGACAAAGCAATAAACGCAAGCCAAACGTTTAGAAAGCATAATTCCTTTCCAATAAAAGTCATTAATAATTTTAAATTTTTTATATCCGACTACATATTTTTCCGCCAATTTAAACCCAATCGTTATTAGGAGTTATTATGATCATGGCTGGTACCAGAGCACTTTAAATTTGTGCTAAAATATGCAACACAAAGAAGAACTTAAGCTAGACCCATCTTTTAGTATTCGGATCGAAATAGAATCACTTTTTTAGTAAATGCCGCAAATTTTAGTTATATGACATTTCGTAAAACGACTTGTTTTGGCTTAGGGGCGAACGCTATGGAATATTGTTTGAATGGGACCACTTTTTCAATTATTTCCCATATAATTTCTCATTTTGAATAGTCGTTACATGAGTAACTACAGGGTGATCGAAGAGAGACTTTGGCTCAGTTTAGGGTGTTATTTGTTTTTAAATTTCAACCATGTCGAATACAATGAACGTCTATATAAAACCAGTATAGTAAGTAGCTACTGACGTACATGCGGTGCTTTGCAATTTCCTGCTCACATTCTACTATTTCGTCCGAATATATGAAAACACTACGGTGGATAATTATACAGCACAATGAGTCACCTGTTGTTGATTTGTTGAATTTCAGAAAGTAAAAATAAGCAGATAAAGAGGTTAATTTTCATTTGTAGACAATCGAAAAAGTTAGTAGCTAGTTGGTATAAAATCGAAACTATCAACAAGAATGCGAAGGCAAACTCTAATTAAGTATTTCAGGAAACCTGCAACAGACCGTCCATATGCTGAAACAAAGGTGTGTGAATGAACCAAAGAATTCGGAAACATGATAGTTAGTGAGCTCGTTTCTTGTCAATCCCAAACTACACCGATTTGAAAAACGTAGAAACGGCCACAAGTTGAAGCAAGAGATTGGCCCATGAGGTCAAGATCTCTTTTAAGTCCGTGCATAGCACTCCAATTAATGCCATAAAACATGCCATCAATCGATGACTTCCGAAATATATGTATACATGTATTATATATATACATACATGCATAAATTATATATACACGTACGTACAAAGTGGTATTTAAGGAGATGGTTTTTCTCAATTCATATAAAAAATGTAAAAAGATCTCTGGCATGTGTCTGCCTTTTCATACGAAAATCGTAAAAACCTTAGACTACACAAAACGTTTCTAATTTCATTTTTTCAGTATGCAGTGGTGTCCTCTCTAATTCTCATTTAAATTAAATTTACTTAGAGTCACTTGAAGGGAAAGCCATATCCTTAGATCCAAGCTTAAAAACCTTTAATAGGAAACCATTCTCCTCTTATCTCTCTATTAAACCAAAACATAGAATTCTATTCACCTTAAAGATCCAAACGTCATCAGCCTTTTTGAAATTGGTAATGTTAGTCCAATATTTGCTCCTGTATTTATTTGCATTGGCTGTCAAAATGTTCTCTCGTCGGCATACGAGGAGATTTATTGGCTACTTATAGATATAACAAATTGAAAAAAAAATAAAAGCCCACTTTTAGGCGGAATTGCCTCGATATGGTAATTATTTAGATTTTCATTAAATTGTTTCGATAGAGTTCTCTTCTATGCGATAAGTGGAATTGAGTTCTTCCTTTTCCAAGTTCCTAACGTACGTTTTGCATTATTGAGGAAACTTTTACTTTAGGTCTGTGTCATACTATGACATAAAGTTTAAATTGGTTTTAAAGAAATATCTTTTAGTGATATTCTTAAGCAACCTTAGAATGTTTTATGAAAATGCCTCTTGTCCACTTTTTATAAATTTTTCATAATTAAATTGTTGTTATATTTTATGTTCTGTTTCTTCACATTTTTTATCTTTCTGGGTCTTTTCAGGTGAACATCCAGCTGCTATGCAACATAATTCAAGCAGCATGCATAAAAGTAATTTTTATTATAGTATATGTTGCATGTTGTTAATCACCATTTTAACATGTTGTTTACAACATTTCTGCAATGATGCCACCATCACCGCCACGGGCCAAAGCAGTTCAACATTACTGCTAACAACCACAGAAACAATAACACAAAGAACAGCGGTGGGAAGAGTTAAAGACTCAGTCCAACACAGACAAAACAACAAGAGCAACAGCAAAGCATTGCCCTTAGCTATATCAACATCAGTATCAACAACGGCACCGGCAATCGCAACACCAACTGAACGTTACAGCAGACATAAAGAATTACGTGCCCAACAAAGACAACAACAACAACACATCGCAAGATGAAGGAGCAACTTGTTCAATGTAAAATGTTTGCAAGAGCAGCAAAAACTAACGGTATTACTGCAAGAATTACAGCAACAACATCAACAGCAGTATAAGTACCAGCAGCAAATTGTTCACCGAAAAAAATTGTTTTTAAGCTGTTTCCTGCTTTTGTTTTCGCGTTTATTTTAATACATATTTTCGTAATGCTGGTAATAAGGCGGGGATTTGCTGTTTTCATTTATTTTTTTATTTTATTTATTTATTTATTTATTTATTTATTTTTTTTTTTTTGTTAAGCGCAAGGAAAAGAAGAAAAGCAAACATTGTTCACTTTGGTTTTTTTTTCAAACCATAAAATAATTAAAGGAACAAAGTAGCTTAAAACGGGGTTAATAGTCGTTTAAACAGTCATACAAACAGTACGTCAGTTAGTAAGTAAGTAAGTAAGTCACTGAGCTACGCCAGCTCAGCCATTTAGTCAGTTCACGTTGTAAATGTATATGAAATCAAAAAAAAAAAGAAAAAACTAAGAGAAAAACTAAGATTAAACTTTAAGAAATCCAGAGAGTTAAGTTAATATGTGCAGACATAAACATCCCTAGACCAACACGATTACTACAATTCGCACAACAACAATCGAAAAAGAGTATTTTGTAGTTAAACGAAAATTTCAACTTCTGGTCGCATTAACGTTCGTTAAATATTCCTCAACTGTTTTTTTTTTTTTTTTGTTTTCTTCCGCTAGTGTGAAGTTGTAAGTAATTAGCTTTAAAATTTATAAAAGGGAAGAGAGATGAAAGGCGTAAAGCAAAGAATGAACATATTTAGTGTGGAAGGTGATAAAACTAAGCCGTTTTTTATTATGCAATTTAAACATTATGTAAGCTAAACTCCTTACGAGAGAGTTAATGCTAGTTATCTGTCGGTTGATGTTGCAAGGAGTCGTAAAAATTTACAAAGAAGAATAAGAAGCAAAGTAAAAACCATATTGCAACGCGGCATTAGTTTGTGATTGAGTATTATAAAGGACGATATTAAGATGACATCAAATAAAAATAAAGGATTTAAACGCGGGGAAGAAACTGTTTTAAAGAAAACTTTAGAAAATATTTATTCTCCTTTTAAATCCATAAAATGCCACTTTATTGAAAAATTTTGCCAATAACTTTTGCTTTGATACATCCTACATCGTTTGCGGTATAAGTGTGTAATTAATTTTTCCGGATCTATGCGGTCCACTGGAGATGTTGAGATAGTCCAATCCATCTTTTATTACACCGGTCGATTCATAATCGCTTAGTTCTTCTGAACTTGTCTGTCCGTCTACCCGCTTTGTTTTCTTTGGTTCGACCTACAAGTCGCAATTTTTGAAATATTTTTAATGAAATTTAATACAACAAACTTCGTTGTTGGCCCAAAGACATACCCTATTAAAAATGGTTCGGATCGGACCAGTTTTGCGACCACTTCCTATATAGCGCTTTATCTTAAAAAGTCACTATATGAATTACTCTGGAGTGGTGTAGGGTATTTAATAGTGCGCAGTGACAGACTATACTCTTCTTACGCTCCTTCAAAGAAAATAAACTAAAATATTAATAAAACGAATAAGAAAATTAAATCCGGTTGTGACCGACTCTTTTATACCTGTCACCATTATCCAAAAAAAAAATAAATAAATTTTGATGCTATATAATATGGAGCGGGTGCAGCTGATTTTTTCTGTTTTCAAAATAAAAGTGTTTTTCGCACAGACGTGCGGGTGATGTAGGCGCGTTTTTTTGAAGAGTTTAAGTCATTTCCAAATTCTTTTGCAAATTTGTAGACGATGTCTTCATATTCGCTAACGGGAGAATATATACCACACATATACTACATAGTTGGGCGAACAGACAGATATATAAACAAACAAAAGGATTTGCTTGGATGCGTTTCAGATTTGAAACTAACCTAGAATTTCCACTCTTTATAGGAAGCTTGTTTTTGCGCGTTACAAAGTTACTAAAAAAAAAAAAATTGATACTGTATAATATTGGATAGTTATGGTCTAATTTTTTCGTTTTTGCATCATCAATAGCATTTTTGTACGTTTATCTGTTATAGTTTATGATTGATGAGCAAAAAACTAATTTTGTAATTCTTTTGAATAACAGAGGCGTTGTCAGCCTACGTGGTAGTGTGGGCGTGTCCTTCGACCGATTTGAACAAGTTTGAATAGTGAACGAACTGCAAGAATTTCCAATCTTTCTCCCAAGTTTTAAGTTGATAGCTTCATTTTTGCTACCAGGAGAATGTTTATAGCAGAGATTACGCAGACGGCAGACGGAGTTGTTTAAATCGATTCGGAATTTTATGTTGATCAAGAATAATATAGTTTGTGGCGTCTCTGAAGCTTTTTTCATGGCGTCGCAAGCATTTAGACATATTAAAGCGTGAAAAAAATCGAGTGACTGGTAGGTCTAGTAGATTGTGATCTGGAAACAGTAACAACTTCATTCTCCAAAATTTTTTCGCCAAATACACGATTTTAAAATTACATCTGCTTTTCTTACTTCGCTGACCTCGTACTCTTTTATTTTCCTATTAAGCTCCGTTGAATATCAACCACTTTTCGTTAGAATGAATTATTGTTGTTTTCGAACTTTTCGAATCGTATATCATTTTGAAATTCTGTATATTATTTTCGCGCGTGGAGAAAAGAAATACATTTGCTTGACGAAATATTGCAGTTCAAAGAGTGCCACGTAGACGATACGCAAATCAAACTTTTTTAAGATTCACAACAAAAGCGACACCTATGGTTTTATATCGGGTAGACTGCCCTATACTGGATTCGCCATTTTGCTTATAATATCCAGAGATGGTCACATATATGTGTATATATATTAATATATGGATAAGTAATAATAATAACCATAAATATATACATATACACATGTATACATATATATATTCCTACACATATGTAGAAATATATACATTCTCGATCAACTACTGTTCACTGCCGTTTTTCGTTATTGATCATAATTGCAAGAGCTGAAACAAAATGATAAGACGTGGCGTTAGAATCTAGGTCAAACTTCAAACTGAAGATGCTTTGTCGACAAACCCTTTCATTGGCGATTATACGCTCCGAATATGATTCCTAGAATTTTGGAAAGGTTCGGCGGTTGGCAAAGGGTATGTCTAATCGTGAGATTCTGTCCACAATTTCAAGTTGGAGGAATGAATTTCTTAAGGCTCCATTGGTTTGTGGTGTTTAAATTCTTGCAAATATTTTAGTCTTTGTTTTTTCGACATTGATTGGATGTAATGATGGGACCAAATTGGGTCTAGCATGATAGTAGTGTAGGTTGCTATTGCCATGGCAGTACATTTGATCGTTTTGCCAGGTTTCTCTCGTATTTTTTTTTCTAATAAATTTTCGAAACGGAATGTGTTCCGTTCCGTGTTCAGTCCGTAACTAATGGTGCCGAAATAAATTTTTGAATTTAAATTAATTTTCAAACTTTCAGGTTATATAAATAAAAACTCTAGAACTATTTATTTATTATAGGCGTCTCAAATAATTGAGAGATACTGGGATTTATTTGTACTATACTTTAGTCTAAGATATGTTGTAGTTTAAAAGTTACAGTTGTCTGCTCACTGCAATCATTATTGAGCGGATCCCGTCCATTTTTTTTATTGAATTTTTACATATCTCTAGTAAATCTTTCTATCAAGATTTAGAGCTTACTTAACTTAAATTTAATCTGTGATCTCTAACTGAGAGTGCTACTGTGAAGCTTCTTTTTTCTACATCAATTTTGCCATGTCAAACGTTCTGACATGACAAACAGACAATTTAAGTGTCAGACGACCATAGATAAATGGATTCAGCTTGTATGTAGCTTGTACGCAATTTAGGAGGTATCCTGCGCACATTATTGGACATCAGACATCAGCTTACGATTGCAATAATGTCATTGTTTATCTTATCTTATCTTATGGTTTATATTAGACATATATATTTCTTAGTTATATTATTTAAAATTGGCCCTGCTATTAATAATCTCGAGGCTTAGAAAATCCTTATAATAATTAAGTCACTTTCCCTCTGATGCACATACGCTTCATTAAGCGCATACTTTCAACTAATTCAACATCTAAGGAATTTCCAAAAAAGTTTTACATAGCTACTGTGCATTAGATGTGAATTTTATATGTTAATGAATCGATAACATCATCTACATTATTGTAAATTAATTTTTGGATAATGTGGCGCGTTAATTGCTCAACATATTCGTATTAACAAATAACATGAGTGAATGAATCAATTAAAGTAAAAATATTAACCCAAATTCTAATTGCATAAATTTAGGCATTTCAGTAAATACTCTCGTGTAATACAACTATTATCATACATTGTACTATCAGAGAGTTTTTTCTTTTGTGTATTATAGTGTAAATTGTTACCATTAAATTGCACTGAAACAGATGTTTATAGACATAAAATATGTTAATATTTATCAAATGAATGAATGAATGACTGCACAATAATAATAATAATAATAATAAGCATAGTAATCATTATAATGCGAACAACTACGTTCACATATATGCGTCGATGTATGAACAGTATTCACATCATAAACACTTATTATTATTATTTATGTTTAATTTGAATTTCAGGATTTATGACCAAGAGCGCACACGCCAAATAATAATTGAAAGTAATACGAATAGCAGCAACAATAATAATAATAATAATAATAATTATGGTGTTATTAATGGTGATAATCATGGCTACATTGAAAAGGTGACAAGTGGAAATTGAAAGAAGGATTTATGTAGAAAAGGAAATTCGCTATAATTGATATTATTACACTTGAATAAGTCAATTTTGATCTAGTTCACTGAGACAGAAACACAAGCAGAGTATATATTATTTTCCATATCTATACAAAGCCAATTGCTTAAATTCAGCTCCTACTCTCATTGCAGAGCTAAACCAAAAAGTTAGTAAGCCACAAATTCAAGGATTTCATTTATCCCCAACTGTATTAAAGATGTCTTTGCACTTGAACAAAGTAATTTCTAGTCTCTCTTAGATAATCGAAAATCGAAATTAATGCCTTTAGTTTTAAATTACGATTTAAAGAAAGACTAAATGTCTTCGTTTATTCTAATGAAACTCTTGAATTTTATGTCTGAATGGTCGCGCTTAACTTCTAATAACTTGTGTTCTTTTGATGCCGAACACACACGGATCGACAGATAAAAAATTCTACAA